TTCATCTGAACGCGTTAAGAAACGACATTGAAATTGGATTATTATTTTCGCTTAGATTCCGCGCAGTCTGGCACGTTGTCAGCCTCCCCCAAAACCATTTTCGACGTCTTCTCTCTATGAAAGCAGAAGAACTATCGACATAACTTAACAAACTTGCCAGCCTCTTATTTTAAGCTCTCGAACTCTCGCAGTCTTTGTTCAGGAACCTGATGTGAATTTCGAGCGGCTTTTTCAATTTAGAAGGGTTCACTTTAAATGCTACATAGCGTTTTGCACATATTTTCAAAAGAATGTATTGATTTTCTGCTAGCTACGTAATAAAATTTAATTACGATGCCTTTATTAAAGGATATGTGCAATTACTGAAAGTATGAAAAGGTCTGCGATCAGAAACTTTGACAAAAAAGAGGAGACGATGGAATGGTTGTTAAGCGCAACTTCTAACTTGAAATGTTCTTAAAATGAAAACTTGGATAATAACTCTTAAGGAACTATTCCTTCAAGGTTTCAATAAATTATGCATTTCTGCTTTGTATTAAAAATACATTCCAATGAAAGTCAAGCGAATTTATAAAAAGGAGTATATTAATCATGAAATAACTATTTGATATACAGGGTGAATATAAAGAATGGAACCAAGCGGTTTTATTTTTAATCATTTGTCTCCAGAAAATAATAATTAATATAAATTAAAGTAATATAAAAAATGTAATCGTATTTTCAGAACGAAATTTTGTTTTGTTTTTGAGTTATGCGATTTTTTTTTGTCAAAATTGCAATTTATGTGAAAAAATTTTTTTCAAAAAATTAAATATAAAGTAGATAGTTGTAATCCTTAGAGTATAGCTTTTATGAGAAAAATGATTTTATAGTGGGTTGCCATTTAAAAAAATATTTTTTTTGTAGAACTCAAAAACAAAAGGAAATTTCGAAAAATTTTATTCTTGTTAAATCATCACATTTTTATAGTACTTAATCATTTATCAATTAGTTTTTTCAAAAAATAAATAGTTTAAGCAAAAAACGTTTGGTTCCATACTTTTTATTCACCTGGTATATATATCCACTAGATAAAATCCGCTAAAAATACACATAACTAGAAATGGTATTACGAAGTTAAAATAAATGATTTTGCCAAAACACATAATAAAATTTAATTACGGTGTCCTTATTAACGGATGTATGCAATTAACAGACGGATCAAGAGATCTCGACATCGTCACCTCATTCTCGAACAGACGAACGAGGAGAAGTAAATAAGTCTCCAAAGCAGTGGTGGAAACACGTTAATTTAATTATTTGCCAAAGCAATTAATTACAGGCGTGTGATCCCTTTGCTCTAACCAGTCTTGGTCTCTTCGATTTGTCTACTTGATATCTACATGTAAAGCATTTATCTCTTTGATCATTTATTTAAGATGACGAAGACTTTAATAAATAATATAATTGAAGAAGAAGCGATGCTCTCCTTCCTACAATATTTATGCATCGATTAAGACGCCGCCACCAGAAAATTAATTTCATTTTGTTTCTTTATTTTTAGACAGCCGCTTGCCGGCTACATTGCTTAATGTCGCTCAGGAACAAGAAGATCCTGTAATTTACTTTGAATGCAAAGGAAGACAAACGGCGAAAAAAACAACGAAAAGGAATTCAAGACGGAATAAAATTTGGCGCTTGCATTACTAACCTTATAATAAAATAAGTTGCAAGTGTCACATTACTTTTACTTAACAAAATAAAGAGTTTAAACTCTACTACTACGTACTACGTTTACATCGCGATGAGAAAACGTCAATTTTTTTGAGGTTAGCTTTAATATCTACGAGTTATAAGTTGTTTATTGGTGAYAGTGTTTTTTTGTAGGATTCTTTGCAAAAMCATTTAAAATTTAATGAAATAAATTGGAAATGACTTTCTACATGCAGTGRATTTATTATATTATTTCAAAATTTTTATATTTTCCAAMGTTTTTGGATGTTGTATCTAAAACTCGCAATKTTTAGTGTACAGTTGGAGATAAAKTACTTTGGTCGTCAATGTKACTTGAGTGTCATTAAATTGTAAAGCATGCTTTAGGACTATTAACCTTTTTTTAGGTACTGTCAATCATAGTTGACAAGTTGTACACATTTTTAATAGAAAGATATAATAGCTGTCATTAATTTGAAATTGTCATTCATTAAAGCTTGAATTACATTAAAGTGTCGTAAAAGTGACGACCAAAGTATTTTGTCTCCAACTGTACAGTGTGCTGCATTTCGGATGTCCGAATAGGGAATCTCCGAAACTAAGAGGTTTAACCAAAAACGAGTGATACATTCATTTTTTGAGAAAATAATATTGGTGAAAACCGCATTGGTTATTATAGAAGATACAGATTTGAATCAAGGACATTATACAGGCATTTTTTTACGTAGAATTTAATAATGTTGTTAACAATTTTATTCAGTTAGTTGTTTAGKAGTAATAAGATAAATTTTTATTTTTTTTAATGGGAATTATAGGTGGTTATGACYTTTTTAAAAAGCTTATCTTTTTCTGATCTAAAAATAGTATATWATGATARGAGTTTTATAAGAAGCATTTTGTCGCACGCACGTGTTTAGCAGTAAGTGCGACAAAATGCCTTATAAACGAGATATCATACTGTATTTTTTCTACTTTGCACTTTTTTAARCAAAAAAATWAAAATTTTGGAATGCAGGGAATTTTGCGGCAGTTGGCGACATTGCGTAGTGGCTAGGTGGCTATGAAATAAATTAATTTGAAACGTCATTATTTTATTCGTAAAAATGAATTTCGAAGGTGTCGAAGACGTTTTGCAATGTACGGCGTTAGAAATACCGACCTTGACGGCAAATACGATGAACAGTTTACTCCCTGTGAGATCACACGCCAATATTGTTCAGTAAGTTGACGGAAAAACCTACCTAACCAAAGTAACAGTAAGTAGCTTTTATTTTACTTTGTCCTATGATCTAAAGACATGCGTAAGCACCACTAAAATCATGTTCATTCGGAATATTTTTTACGATGATTAATTAAACCAAACATAGCAAAAATTTCGTATTTGAATAATTTCATTTGCGTTAGACCGATTGACACTGACAGTTCGATGGAAAAACGGTTAGGTCGCCAACATTATAAAACTAAATTTCCCTCTTTTTAGTATAATTTTTATAGCACTGTTTTTGTTCATTACGAAACTCAAAACAATTTCGTAATGGACCTTAGTACGAACGCAAAGTAGAATAAATATATTTTATTGAAGAATTAAAGCGGCTTTTTTTACAATACTCTGTTTGTCACTAGAAGTTACAATGGTAATGTTAGCTTGTTTAAAAACAAAGAAATGGTATTAGTCGCCAATAAGTTGATTTACGACTTATTTTGCATTTTTTTTATTATTTAGTACTTAGAAAACTCTTTCATTAGTGACACTGGTTGKATAATATAGTTTAAATCCTTTTAGTTAAAGATGCAACATTTTTTCATGGCCAACTGCGAACGAAAATCAAAGATATTTTTTTGGTTTTGGTGGTTCCTAGAGGTAATTAAAATGACATGATAAGTGACACACCTCCACCCACCCTTGAATATAATAAAAAAAAATGAAAATTTAACGTCTTCGTTTTTGAATAATTGGGAAAATGGCTTTGGYTGTGGCTGTTGTATGACATTTTTGAAAAGCGCTTGTTATGGGCTTTCCAACAATGTATCGCAAGTATGGTTTTGCTATTTAAAATTTTCAACGTCACTTACCATGCCATTTTGATTTCCCCTAAAAACCACCGAAACGGTTTTGAGTGATTCTCAATAACTTTTTTAGTTCTGAGATATTGCCGATTGCAAGTTTTAAAATTGACACTCTGTAAATTTATAATATATTTAACTGGTTAATTAGTTATCCGTTTAACCAATTTAACCGATTAACTAGTTAATTGATTTTACCGGTTAATTTGGATTAACTAATTGGCTGATGATCTAATTAACCTGGTTAAATTTTATGGCCGGTTTGGTTTGGACACCCTGTGTGTTTGCACACTACTGCATAAAAGTATTAAAATGTAAGATACTAAATACTAAGCCACTTTTTTTATGAGATTTAATTTGATTTCAAAATGACGCTTATAACTTACGGAAACGTATCATTTGTCAGGTGGTTTTGTCGCTGACAGTCCGCTCACTATTTACAAATGTGCATTATCTGTTAAAGTCATTAATGGTCCAGCAGCCATTCGAGATACTAACAACATACAATAACCACATTGATTTAGTTAAGTTTAAACATCATTTGGTTCGTGAAATTTAAAATCAACCATTTACACCATATTTTCACTTAATTTTTTATTGTGAATTTGACAAAGCAGACAATGCTCATTTTTAGCTTCTCATTTTCAAATAATTTTCACCTTTACATAATACAAAAGGAAAAACGGTATGCAGCCTAATAAGAGTAGTAAGATAATGGAACAGCGATGTTCTAAACTATAAATAACTTTATCTTACAGGTTGAGTTTTTGAGCTACCTTAAACCATTGTTTTTGGTGATAGAAATCAAATATTATTCACAAGTGAGATAAAGTACACACAAGTGAGTAAATTTGACTATTATATTATATTTACTATTATATTTTTATAGGTGAATATTTTACTTGAATGAAACTTAATTTTTTGGATAATTGCACCTGTAAGATGAAACGTCGTATATCACACGTGATCGAAATGCCATTATGAAACTCGTGAGAAGTGTCAAAATTCTCACTCGCGTATAATGATGCATTTCTATCACTTATAATATAATGTACTATTATTGTTCAAGCTTATTATCTTACAGAGAGAAACACTCATTTTGCCCATAAAATAGAATATATCTTATCATAAAAACTTAACGCACAATATTATTTGTCAACACATTATTTTTAAATTATAATTAAAAGATTATATTCTCAATTTAGAAATGATCAAATTTGAAAATCTTATTTAAAAAAAGACAATTTTAAAGGCAAGACTGATTTATTAATTTCATACATCAAATTTCAATGCAAGACTAAAACTTCATAAGTTTTATAGGACATTTCCTTATCATCGTAAGGAACATAAAGGCACTTTTGAGATAATTGTACCTAGGACAAAAATATGAAAATTAGCACTAATATGACACTACTTACCTTTCCAACTTTCGTAAAACCGTCCGTATTTACTCGACCAATGTACAAAATTTCTCCAAAAGCAGTTTTTCCGGCAGGTATTGCTCCTGCTGGTACTTGTCCATCTTGAGCCGGCAACCAACACATTTTTTTTTCGCATAAAATCTAAATTAATCGAAGTTAACACAAGAAGGCACGAATTTTAAAATTACCTTGAAATCATTAACTTTTATTTCACGTCCATCATAACTGACATATGCTTCTCGTCTTTTAGGAACAATTTTACAAGGAAGTTCATCACGCTGATAGTAACTTAAACCGGCAAAAATATCACTTCCGTCTATATCTTTGCCGCATTTCACGGCATTGGGAGGGATGTTGAAATCGGAACAATGGACCCACTCAAAACCTAAAATTGTTTTTTTTTAATTTTAAATAGTCAAAAGAATTTGCATAAAACCTGACATGTTTGAATGTGTATAGGATGTCTGTTTAAGTAAATATAATCTGGAGTTTCTATTTATATGTAAGCCTACATACTACCGACAATATGCTATGATTGATAAGATAACACGAAAAACGTATTGATGGCTACTTTTTTTACATTTGGAGACAGGTTTGTTGCTTTGTCGCTACATATTTGTGTAAAATCGGTCACACTATAGTCGTTTTCATATTAATGTCCATCGAAGTAGKSATTAACAGGGATGATTTTATGTTGGCGACCATGCGAAAATTCAAACAAACCTGACCTCAATCCTTCCTAAAAATGTGTACTCAGTTTTTGACGTAGRAGAAAATAATAAAGCTAACAACGTAATRAACATAGGGTGGCAAACATAAGATTTTATGTCATTATTGATGTGAATAAATTTGTTCTGAATGATATTAATTACACTATTTATGTGAATCGGCCTTTAAATTAAAGATGCATTTACAGTTCAACAACTTACTTGATGCACAGTATTATCATAAATATGATTGAAATAACGCAGTGCTTAGTGACGTATGTACATACGTCAAAAGTGTATTTTTCTGTCACGTAGGTCATTTGTAATTTCATATTTAATAGGGAAATCTGTTTTGAGGCTAATATTTACCCTCTACAGTATGTATGATTGGGTTTACAAGAGGAAAAAAAATACCTTTGATTTTACGCCAAAACTGCAAAGGAAAAACATTTTTTGGCTTCATCGGAAACGAAATTTAATTTAATTTTTTAACATTTATCAGAAATCACAAATATTGATTTATCAGTTTATCACTTAATGTAAAATTTTATGAGATTTTTCCAAAAATTGATAAGGAGTACAAACACTTTAATTTATATTGAATTTTTCTGGCTATTAATACTTTGCGGACACGGAGTTTTGGACGATTTGTCATTCGATTGACATAAAAATGTTAAACGGGCCTTATACAACTTTTGCAATTTAACTTCCAACAAATACAATAAACCTTCTCAAACGTCATAATTACATTCTAATATACCGTTTACACAACTTCTAAATTGAAACATCGATTTTGCTACATAAACATACAACTATCATTTAAATAAAAAATCAAAGTTTTATTCTTTGACACTGTCAAAATTTAAGGTTTTTGTCTCGTGGAAGGAAGTTTTGACAACTGTTTGGCATTTCTCAATACAAAACGTCAGATTATTTTTAATAGATTTAAAGCAATTTTAAGCCTTGTTGAGACTAATTCAGAGAATAAAATGTTGTATTCAACTCGTCTTCGTGTAAATCGGTTCATTTATTCCACCTTGTGGATGATAAACCACTCGTGGAATAAAGCGTCCAATTACACTCAAACTCGTCGAATAAATAACTATTATTATTAATAAAAAAATTATAATTTTTCAAAAACTTCGTCTAAACCTTTTGACGTTCAACACAAGATAAAATATAATAACTATACTAATTATGACATCTTAGACACAGCACCGGCCTGACAGTCAAAAACAGAAAGTTTTATATATTTTAGACCTTAGGTAATGATGTCTGTTTCAGGTATTCAATTATAGCGCTTTCAAAGAGCAAACAGGCCAKAAGATACATAAAAGTCAAAATTTGACATCTCAATTTGAAAACAACCATAATTTTTTAATAAAATTTCTAGSGACAAAAACAGAAAACAAACAAAATTTGTGGCTATGGAGACAAGCTGCTACCAATTTATACACCAAAATTTTGACTTGATTATTTCCATTTAAAGAAAAAACAGACTTTAGTAGAAGACTATACGGATACCTAATAGGAGACAAAACGAGATACAAAATTGCTCGATTTTTTGGACCCAAAAAAAGTAGTACGGCGGAGTAAAAATGAGAGCGCTTAGAGCGTTTTACTGTCTCAGTTTCAAATCGTTTTAAATTAATTTAAATTTAACCAGTCTACTAATTGCTTGGAATAAATGCAGAAATGTCGAGCTTTACATTCTTAATAAGCAGTAAAAAACGAACGACAAAATTTTTCACGAGAAATATGAGAAAAAAAAAATTACAATTTAAAATTTGTTCTCTGTTTCATGTTTTTCKAAATGCTGCAAATACGATTAAAGATATAAAAAGGGAGTTGTAGAGAATAAAATTTTCTAGTAAAAAGTCCTCTATCTTAAATGGTTTAGGCCTCAAAGACGTTCAAAGCCGCTCAAGCGACGGATTCATGTCATTTTTACTGGTGATTCAGAGCCAGAGGAACACTTTAAAGCAATTTAAACCTAAACCCTTGAAGATAGAAATATGGTCTCGTGGACTTTTTTGTAGCACATTTTATTCTCTACATTTTTTCTTACACTTTTTACTTTCCTTATCCTATAAGGAAAATATTCTAATCGGCTGAAATTTGACCTACCCAGATTTTTACATTTCTGGACGAATTATAGCTTCAAGACACCAAAAAAGTTGGTTTTGAGTGATTCRCAATAACTTTTTTAGTTCTAGAGATATTGGCGGTTGCAAGTTTTAAAATTGACACCCTGCATGTCTATAGAAACTTTTTTTTTATTTTAACTTAAAAAGCCACCCTTCAAAATCTRTCAACGTTTTTTCCGGACATCTCATCMGCATCATGCAGCAAAAACGTAGGTTTTAATGTTTAGAGTTCAGGTCCAATTTTTTTTACATTTTGACTTAGCTAAGGTTGAATTATTTTTATAACTTTTGTGTCACTTTTTTTAGACAAATGTTTCAACTTTTCAAATATGAATAACAAAATAAGCTGTTTTTTCCAACCTCTGTGGTCGAGAAAATTTCAATTAATTTCTGAAACTCTAAAATCAAATTCGATATTTTTAATTAAATTACTATCTGTTATTGAATATTCAAGTTTTAATAGCAAATTTAGTTTGCAACGTCAATAGTATTTGTCATTTATTGTAATTAAATCGTTTGAATTATTATTTTAATAATATTGTAATAAAAAAACCATAACTAAGATAAATCAGCTATGAAAACTGAAATTAGATAGTTACTGTTTTTGTTATGGTATTAAAAATCGAAACAACAAACTCATGTTTTGATAGTTTAGTCATTGGAAGATAATAAATCCGAAACTTGGTCGGTGAAACACGTAACAGCACTAATTTATTTTTCATTCTTTATATGAAAAATCTTTATCAGGTTAGCATCTCGGCACTTCAGTGGCCACTTATCATCTCATATTCGTCCCATTCAAAGCTTTCCTAAATAAAATTCACTCACTTAAAAAGTTATTCGTCCGAAATGAAAAACTCGGCGAGCTTTATCCGAAACAAGTGGACCTTCGGCTACATTATGAACTTCTCCCAGAGTTTGGTAACAATCCCCCGCGGAGTTATTTCGAGGATTACCGTCGCGAAAAACTAACTCTCAACTTCCTACTCGCCTCTCTCCGAAATTTTCCGGACGCGAAACGACAATATAATCATAATTCCGGAACGAAAACATACCCAGATTAGCATGATGGTGTAATGGTTTAAACGGCCCCGGAGACCGAAGGTAAAGCGCAAATTCCAGGGGGCTTTATTTCCGAAGTTTTTATCGGATTTCCCGTAGAAAGCTAAAAGGGGACTAAGTGTGATTAAAAAATGCACAGTTGGGAATCGAGATGGGACAAGCGCTATTTATTCAGATGGTTTTTTCATCATACATTACCATCAAAATCAGAGACTACCTCTAAATCTTCTGTTAGAGACGCTATTTAAGGGTGTTAAAAGAAAGATTGTAAAAGGAGGTAATAGTATGGACCAAAATGAACAAAAAAGTCTTAATAAACATGGGTCCGCAAAGTAACGGTTTGGGAGATATCAAATGTGAAATTTTTTAGAATTTTTACTACACTGGCGGACACGGAATTTTGGACAATTTGTCTTTCGACTGACATAAAAATGTAAAACGGGCTTTATAGCTTATACAACTTTTGCAATTTAAATTCCAACAAATACAGTAAACCTTCTCAAACGTCATAATTACATTCTAATATACCGTTTACACAACTTCTAAATTGAAACATCGATTTTGCTACATGAACTTCATACAAATATCATTTACTTAAATAAAAAAWCAAAGTTTTATTCTTTGACACTGTCAAAATCTACGGTTTTTRTCCTATGTAAGGAAGTTTTGACAACTYTTTGGCATTTCTCAATGCAAAACGTCAGATTATTTTTAACAGATTTAAAACAATTTTTTAAGCATTGTTAAGTCTAATTCAAAGAATAAAATGTTGTATTTAACTCGTCTTCGTGTGATTATAAACCACTCGTGGAATAAAGCGTCCGATTTACACTCAAACTCGTCGAATAAATAACTATTATTATTATTATTAAAAAAATTATAATTTCTCAAAAACTTCATCTAAACCTTTTGACGTTCAACACAAGATAAAATATAATAACTATACAAATTATGACATCTTAGGCACAGCACCGGCGTGACAGTCAAAAACAAAAGCTAGAGAAAAAATGACAACAAATCAAAATAATTTATTGAACTAAAAAATAAATTTTAACTAAACCTATCAAATTTTAGTTTCAAACGTCAATTATAATGACAATAAAACGTAGCTTACATTGACATTTTTTGAACTGACATAAACTTGAAGTCCAAAATTCCGTGTATGCCACTGTAGAAGCTTTTGTTTTTTGTTTGAATAAATAGCAAATAAAGTCTCTTTTTTTTAATGGAAATTACCATGTCAAAATTTTGGTGAAAAAATTGGTAGCAGCTTGTCTCCATAGCCACAAATTTTGTTTGCTCGTTGTTTTTGTCCCTAGAAATTTTATTAAAAAATTATAGTTGTGTTCAAATTGAGATGTTGTCAAAATTTTGACTTATATTAATCTTGTGTCCCTGTTTGCTCTTTGAAAGCACTATAATTGAATACCTGAGGACAGACATCATCACCTAAGGTCTAAAGACAGAATTCAGTGGTAATAATTTTGACAGAAACACACCGCAAATAAGTACAATTTTGTGGACAAAAATGAGGATCTTGATTCAAAAACTTTGAAGAAAAAGGATGTATATACAGAAAAAAGTTAGCAAAAAGCAAAAGATACAAGTGGGTATTATGATGATTCGCAATACATTTTGTGTAATTTATTGAAATGGGCTCAAAGTTGATGCATTTTATAAATTCTTCTTCAGCTTTAGTCTCAAAATTGTTACTTTTTCATTTCGTTCCTCAAGACACTAATTTAATTGCGTTCTTTCCGAGGTTCTTTCTCATTTATGTTTATTTTGTATTTTGTCAATTTTTTGCTAAAAATTAAGAATGTTTAGCAAACCTGCATTACAAATTGCGTCTACATTTTAACGGACCCTTTTTCTAACTTTTTGCTTGCGAACTATTTGTTTCCAAATTTCGAAAAACTGTTACTGTACCGAATTTGTTTGTTTTTCGGTGTTTCGTCTCTAAATTCTCTTAGACGATTTTTTGTGTTGACGTTTAATGACATAGTTTTTAAATTAACTAAAAAAACCGGAACTGCCAACTTCCTTTATTAAAATTACCATGAATGAATTTACTAGTGATGCCAACGTTAAGACTGATTGGCAATTCCATTTAAAAAAAACAGACTTTAAGTGTTTCAAAAAACGAATAATGTCCGATATCTCCGAAACCGTTACTTTGCGGACCCATGTTTATTAACACTTTTTAGTTTACTTTGGTTCATACTATTTCATAAAACATATTTTACAATTTTTTTCAACACCTTGTATAATTCCAAATTATTTTCGATAATTCTAACTTATTATAGACTTATTTTAAAGTAATATTAAAAAATAAATCTGCAGTGTTCTAAACTACAAATTCTAAGCTACAAAAATTTTCCTAATTGTTTCAAGTAGTACATTATGCCAAAAATTCAGTAATTTAAAAAAAAACATAATTCCTATAAAATTCCAGTAATTTCAAATAATCTTAAAATAATTTCAATAACTAAATTATTTTATATCACTCTAACGAACTTTCAATAAAAAAATAAACTTTCTTAATAAAATAAAATAAATTATTGATTGGTTGGAACTAATTTAACTTATGTTATGTTTTGAATATTCGTGAACATTGTACACAATGATAATCTTTCSTAAGATCTGAATATAGTTATTTTTGTTACAAGTACCTAAAYTTGCGGACGAATAGTTGTTGGAGAAGCCGAGTCTGGAATAGCAAAGGAGTCCACACAAACGACCGTGTGTACACACGTGTGTTACAAACAACACTTTTTGTTAAAACTCCCAAAAAACGAAATTACACCTCTTATTAATTAAAACAAAATACCACCATAGTAACCAAATTCACTTTTTCGTCCGGAAAAACTGTTTTTGGGGACTGAGAACCTAAAATAACCATTTTACTTACTATTTTATTGAGTCCGGAAAAGACTCATTTTCGAGAGCGTATACAAAAAAACTGGATWTTGTTGAAATTTTTAGTTGTAGTAAAGTAGGTTAGGATTGTAGTTTTATATGAATCACCCTGTCTATAGGAACAGTATTCATCCACCAAAATAAATAGTATTAAATGCGTGTGAGCAAATTAATGTTCCMCAAGAAATAACGCCGAAATCTAGTCGTAGTTTAGTGTTCTCGAGAGCATTAACGYAAAGAATGCCAATCCGCGCCCCGGAGCGGAGACCGGAACCGGAATAATGCACAAAGTGTGCCTCCAGGCAACATCTCGCGCCTGTTTTTCACCCTCGTGACGCACTGCGAATCCATCATCGGCTCTGGATTTCCGGAAGGGAGGAACAATGGACCACTTACCCTTTCGTTAAGTCTGGCTCGACATTGTCCCGCTTGAGAGGGTATCGATGTATTAGAACGAGGATTATCCCAAGCATAATCCGCGTTTGTTTAGGACTTGTTTGGATTTCTGCCTTAGAAAAATTTCCAGACAAGGATTGTGCCTCTTAAAAAATCAAATATTTTTTATGTGCTGTGCGCTCCATTTGCCGAGTTTAAACTGTTGAATAGGATTGCTTTRAGGAGCGAACGAAAGAATTCCAATTATACGACTATCGTCCATCATGGAGCCGCTTCATTGAGATTCTTCTAATGATGATTGATTCGACGCTGCATATTCACTGGCCATTTAACCTTATTTGCATTGAATCTGTTTTTCGCGCACCCATTTCAAAGTGATCAATCACAGTTAACTGGGGTCAAAAATCACAGATTTCGAACACGACACGCACCATCGAATTTCGCAGTTTTTACCAATAGGTTTCTTTAAATTTTATTTGCATACAAGCGACCCAAAAATATATGCATTCAATTTAACCCATAACAGGACTCATTGAAAGTTCTAACCATATCTTTAGATTCTTTTATAATAATAAAGCGGCTTTATTGAATTGTATATACAAGTAAATACAACTCGGGAGACGAAGTCCAGCAACAGCTATTCATACTTAACCCCCTAAACATCACAAAAAGAAAAAAGGACAATGAATTGCATTACACTTTAATTAAAATTAAGAAAAACTACTTAAGTATAACACGAATTAAAACAATAAGAAAATAATAAAAAGCAAAAGTAAAAAACTAGAAGTTCAAATAATGTATTTTTATCATTTTGCGAAAATTGTTCACTAAAAGTTTTTTTTTAAACAAATGCGAAGAATTATATAACTTTATTGTATTGTAAGAGAGAGATCTTTTAAATATTGCTTTTTTAAACTTTGGTAAGCAATATTACGAACAGAAACTTGATGACAACTTTTTCTCGAATGAAATATTTCACGAAGATAGGGTGGTGAAGCAGTAATAAACATTTTATACATACCAGGTGAATAAAAAGTATGGAACCAAACGTTTTTTGCTTAAACTATTTAGTTTTTGAAAAAACTCTAAGGATTACAACTATCTGCTTTATATTTAATTTTTTCAAAAAAAATTTTTCACATAAATTGCAATTTTGACAAAAAAAAATCGCGTAACTCAAAAACAAAACAAAATTTCGTTCTGAAAATACGATCACATTTTTTATATTACTCTAATTTATATTAATTATTATTTTCTGGAGGCAAATGATCAAAAATAAAACCGCTTGGTTCCATACTTTATATTCACCCTGTATATGAACACTGACAACACTGGCAAGAAATAATTGTATATTTAATGGTCTACCGACAGCCAACCAAGTTCTTTTATTTTTTGAGATACATGGTAAAATTTTCTTAATTTGTAAATAAAACGAGAGCACGAATTTTGTATTTTTTGTAATTTATATTTAGATTGATAATCTAAACATGAATAATAAATGATGAGACCATAATTATGGTTGGAAAGCACCAATGACTCGCATAGTTTTTTTCGAAGTTTAAAATTCAAAATGTGGAAATTGGAATATAACATTTTTAATGCAATATAAGACCTCTTTACAATCAAGTTGACATGTTCTCTAAATCGTAATTCCGAATCCATTATAATTCTAAGATTTTTTACACTGTTTGAGATACCTATTTCCGTCTTAGAAATTTTGAGATTAATTTTCGAGTTGATTTGTCTATTTCTTGTGGAAATGCAAATTGATGAACATTTATTCCAATTTAAATTTAAACCAATGCTTTTAGACAATAAGACAATTTCATTTAGATCTTGATTAATAAAGTTGCAAGCTCGTTCTATATCGTCAGGATCAAAATGATAATACAACTGTGTATCATCTGCAAAGGCATGGATGTTAACATATTTTACCGATTCTAATATTTCTGCGCTGTATATTAAAAATAGAAGTGGTCCCAAAATTGAACCTTGCGGAACACCAGATGTAATATTACCTGCTCTTGATTGTGAGGGACCTACTGTAACAATTTGTTTCCTATTACTAAGGTACGAATTAAAAAAAATTGTTGAAATGTTGTCAAAACCATAAAAAGATAATTTTGCACATAAAATTGGGTGATCTAAAGTGTCAAATACTTTAGAAAAATCTAACAAAGTCACAATGGTGGCATCACCTTTATCAAAAGCTCTAAAGCAATCATCAAGAATTTTTCCGAGGGCTGTGATGGTACTATAATTTTTCCGAAATCTTGATTGTTTATTCAACAGAAACAACATAATTGTAAATCTGTTTATAAATAAATAAATAAATAAATAAATATTATTTTCAACTAATATTTGTTTTTATTTTTTTTGATGCTAATTAATCTTTTAAATCCAATTCAATTTTTACCAACATTTCAAATTGTAAAGCAAACTTAATTTGATGTTACTTGTCTAGTTAATCGAGACGGCGGTAGTTTTTATTTGAAATACTTCGTTTGAAATGCATTTTACATATGTTTGACAAAATATTTGTCAAATTGTTTCAAGTTTTTCGCATTTATTTAGAATGACTACACACTCTCATAAAGTTCGCCGCGTGCAAGGCCACGAATGCAGTCTTCCTCAAGAAGACGAACTAATCACACTTTACATAAACGGAGGTTTGTTTGTAGAATTTCGTCGAAAATTCCGCCAGTATCTAATGGTCAGCGCTGCAAATCCCGAGAGCAAAAGCGTTCTAAAATCCACTGCTCAAATTCGGCTTGAAGAATCCAGACATCTCCGAAAGTATTACCATATGATCCATCCGTTTAGTGAAGCGAGAATGACGTGGGAAATGATAATGATCGTTGTCTACACTAGTCTTCTAATACTTATGCCACTGGAAATGGGGACTCCGATTACTCAACCATTGGTTCTCTATTCGAAATTCTTCTTGGATTTAATTTCACTTATGGACATCGCCTTGTTTTTTTGTACTGGATATTTCGATGCCAGAAAACACAAGATAATATTGAAACCTACGAGTATTTTAAAGCATTATGTCTTTCCATTTTTTTTCTTGGACTTGATCTCGTCTTTACCTTACAACATGTATATTATGCAGACGGAAAATCACGACTTGAAATGGATGAAATATTTTTATTTAGTTAAGTTGACACGTTTACCAACTCTGAGCAAATATATAAGGAAATTTTGCATTGTAAAATATTTTGGTCTCTTAAACTTAAACTAATTACATGGCTTTTTAGAGAATGGAATTATATAGTTATAAATTGTCCACAGTCAATTTTGCATTATGGTTTTTTACTGCAATTTGGTGGGCTACAGCGATCACTTTGATTGTATACGCCACAGTAGAAAATTTTTCCCTGCAGTATTATATCGAAAATCCAGATATTTTTAATCCAACTTTGGAATCATGTTACCAAGTTGTTAGAGCGTTTATGTTGGTGGCAATGAGCAGGATACAGTCTGATAAACCTCTTTCAATGATTTTTAATATAATATGTGTTTTAATTGGGAGTGTATTAAATATGGTTATTTTAGGTAAATCAACAAACAATTTTTRAACGTGACTAAATCGTATTGTTTCAGCTCAAGTTATGCAAATTTATAAACGTCATTCAAGCTCTAGAAACAAATATGACAATTTGATCCAAGAAATTGCAGAATATATGAACTACAAAGAACTACCACCGCCTATAAAAAAGAGAGTTTTTCGCTATGTCGAATTTAAATTTCAAAAAAATATTTTCAAAGAAGCTGACATTCTGAACACTTTATCGAAAATTCTCAAACAGGATATTTTGCTACACAATTGTAAGAAAATGGTGGAGAAAGTTGATTTTTTTAAAGGATTACCAGGCTCTTTAATTTTGCGTTTGGTAACAAAGCTACGTTCGGAAATTTATTTACCAAACGATCTTATTGTCCAAGCTGGTATTCCAGGAAATGCAATGTATTTTATTTACGTTGGTTCGGTAGCTGTCTACACCATCAACAATCAAGAAGTTAGAATTATTTTTAATTAGTATGGYTATTATTTTGTAAATTTTAGATCTGCCATTTGGAGGATGGAAGTTACTTTGGTGAAATTTCTTTAGTTATTAATGAACCTCGAGTGGCTAGCGTCATCGCTATAACAAATTGTGAAGTGTTTAGACTCAGTCGCAAAGACTTTATGGAAGTAATGGAACCCTACCCTAATTTAACGGGCAAAATACGCGAGAAAGCTTTAAGCAGATTGAAGAAAACAAGACAAATGACAGACGACTACCAGGAAAAAACAAAATCTCATAAGATTTCAGTTGCTTTTGATGAGTCAACCGTCCTTGGTTAAGTTGCGTTATTTAAAACTTTGTTTAATAAAACATTAATGATTTGAAGTTTATGACGTTACATCTTTGAAATAGCTGTTAAAACAAGAGTTTTATAGACAATTTAAAAATCGAGGTCGTAGTTTTTAGTTTTAGGGAGCGAGAATTTAAATAGAGCGTAATTTTTAAAATATAAAACTTGTGTTGTCTTCATTATTGCATTGCATTATTGTTTCGTAAAATCGACGCCAAAAACAAATTTCAACTAAAAATTTCAAATTTTAGTTTCAAACGTCAGTCATAATGACAATAAAGCGTGGCTTGATTGACATTTTTTGAACAGACATAAATTTGATGCTCAAAATTTCGTGTATTATACAAATGTCTAATGACAAAAAATAAATGTCAATTTTTTGAACATTTTTTTTCATGTTTCTGGTATTTTATCTTATTTGAAACTTTTCTCTAGGACGCGAGTTCTGGCGCACCCTGTATAGAAGAGCGTATATTAACGGCAACAGAAATGCACCAGAGAAAAAATACCGAGCGATCAAAAAAAAATAGAGTAGGTGGTGATTAAAGTCCTTCAGATGTTAATCTTGATTTTTGACATCAAATGTCAGCGGAAACTTTGACAAGTTTACGTTTTATTCATTTTGAGTGAAATAGTGTTCACTGTAACGCAGAAAATTTTTATTGTTACAAGTTATTACAAAAATGCTGTACAAGACGAAAACGGTGAATTGGTCATTTTCACTTTCAGTTTGTGTGGAAAATTTCTTGCCAACTGTAGAATTTAATCGACGTCTACTCTAATTAATTTTTTTTAACGCACGGTAATTACTAGCTATACAGAGTGTCTCAGCCAGTTGAAAAAGTCCATTACCTTTAAACCGTAAAATTTTTCAAAATCGTATTGATAAACACTAATCTAGTGCATCACCTAAAATTATTTTCAACCATACAACATGTCCCAAAAATAAGTTACGATACAAACTTGTATTTTTTTTAAATAAAACACCGTATGTTTCTTTGCATTTTTGAATGTAGCTTTTTAAAACAACGTTTTTACGCTAAACTTTTATTAGTCGATTTTGCTTAGTTTCAGAGCAGAGACGAAAACATGCACTTTTTAAAAATTCATTACACAAAAACTAAGACAGTTCTTACTTCTGTAAAGAATAAAGTACAGACTTTAAAGCTGTAGTAATTTTTTAGTGTTTTGCATTATTAAAGATTAATAAATTAAGAAGTTTGTTAAAAGTTAAATAACTTAAAAGATTTAAATGGAACACCCTATTTTTTATTTTTGCATCTAATAGATTGATAAATTGTCTATCTAAAAAAATAAACTTTTAATGTTTAGAATCGATAAATGAAAAGGTATTTACATTGAATATTAATTGTAGCAACAATTGTAGCATTGTTGATACTATGGCAACCATAGTAATTTCACAACGGATCACTTATAGAGCAAGAGCCTGCCGTCGCCAGACCTTCGTCATTTTATAAAAGCTGAAAATTTGTCAGCGCATACTACCAACACATGTAGAAACGATGGGCAAGTATGAAGTTTGGGTCGTCGTGGCTTTGGGAGATAACAGGTAGCAAAGAAGTAAAAAATGTTAACTTAAAATTATCAAATAAAAAAGCGTATTTTTTTTTATATTTTCTTCGGAATAATATTAGAAATCACCTCATCCATTGCCAGACACTTAATATAGTGGCAACCCCTTGTTGGACACCCTTAAACTTTAATAAATTGTAACTGTTTTAAAACTGAATTTTATACATGTTACTTGGACAACTATTAGAAGATGTTTTCCCTCAGTAACCAGACAGTTTCGACAGTTTTACCCCCGGCCAGACAAACATATAGGGTAGCTATAGGCCTCCCATGATGATACTTTGTCAAAACTGAATCATATTTATTTTACTTAAAACTTAGAACTTGGCACTTAGAACTATCAAAACTGTCTGGCTAATGGGAAAACATCTTCCAATAGTTACCCAAGTAACATGTATAAAATTCAGCTTTTACACTATATCGTAAGTACAGTTACAATTTATTAAAGTTTAAGAGACTAGGGGTTGCACCGAAGTTAATTGTCTGGCAGTGGTTGAGGTGATTTCTAATATTATTCCGAACAAAATATAAAAAAATTACGCTTTTTTATTTGATAATTTTAAGTTAACATTTTTTACTTCTTTGCTACCTGTTATCTCCCAAAGCCACGATGACCCAAACTTCATACTTGCCCATCGTTTCTACATGTGTTGGAAGTATGCGCTGACAAATTTTCAGCTTTTAGAAAATGACGAAGGTCTGGCGACCACGGGCTCTTAGACTATTATCCGTTGATTTATCCAGAGATTGTAAAAGTCGTTATAAATACTGAAATTCGAATTATTTTATTGTAAAAATAATGAATAATAGATTCAGTTTAACACAAATGTGGTTACTGAGTGATATTTCTTCCATCTCTTGTGCAACTGTGTACTTTTTGGCTACTGAAACAATAGTATTTTTTTTAATGTTTAACGTTAAATATCTTTTTAGTTATGGATTATAAACACCAAACAGTAATAATTTTAGAAAGACAATTTAATAATCTTTTATTCTTCGATACTGTCAAAATTTACGGTTTTTCTCCCGTGGAAGTTTTGACAACTGTTTGGCATTTCTCAATACAAAACGTTAGATTATTTTTAACAGATTTAAAGCAAGTTTAAGCCTTATTGAGTCTAATTGGAAAAGTAAAATGTCATCCACGAGGTGGAATAAAGCGTCGAATAAATAACTATTTAATCTAAAAACAATAAATAGGGTTTCCCATTTAAATTTTATAAGTTATCGAACTTTGAAAAAACGCCTTCATTTTTTTATCTTTGTAAATGCAACACACTAAAAACATGTTACAACCTTATAGCTTGCACCTTCTTCTTTGTGGTAGTAAAAAAATATTTCTAGATGTCTTAGTTTTTGTGTAATTTTTTTTTAAAGTGCATGTTTTTGTCAAAAAAAAAACGTTTTATTTTTGAAACTAAGCAAGATCGACCCATAAAAGTTTAACTTAAAAATATTATCATAAAAATCTACATCCAAAAACGCTAAGAAACATATGGTGTTTTATTTAAAAAAAAAACACAAGTTTGTATTGTAACTTATTTTTGAGACACGCTGTATAGTTGAAAATAATTTTAGGCGATGAACTAGATTAGTATCTATCAATATCCTATATAATTATTTTTAATTTTATCATTTAAAGGTCACTAATGGACTTTTTCAACTCACTGGGACAGGCTGTATAACAACAGATAAATAAAGAAAATCTACTGTTTAATAACATTCACAATAATAGGTATTAAATGTTAAGAGCAAAGTTGCCTTCATAGTTTCTATCACATTGCACACTTAGATGTATTTCCAACATTACAGCCACTTAATGTAGAAAGAATTACCTGACACTTCTTGGCAATGTTAATTTTTTCACAAATGGACTCAATGTTATCCTTCTCCTACTGTATTCGAACTCGGTCTTTTGTGCCATTTTTTTGTAGATTTCCTTTAATTTACTCGGTATTAACTTTGAGAAAGCAATTTAGCAATTTCAACTTTTCTGATTTTATCGGGCACACTCATAGTTTCTGCTTCTCCTTCTTTTGCTTACATTTTCGTTTTTTCTGCACTAAATAATTTGTGTTTTTTGTTGACAAAATTTTTTTGTTTTGTTTGCACTTGTACCATAAATTACTACTATTTTTCTTAAAATTTGACTAAAAAGTTTGCAATTTAAAATGGACCTACAATTCCATTTCGTCTTATCAATGTAAGTTAACAATAAAATTTCATGTGTTTATAATCTTAAAACAATACATATTATTTTCTTAATGATATTATAAAAATTTATTTCTTAGGTTTAAACGTTAAAACTGTTATAATAAAAATCATAATCTTCAAATTTATGTCTATAATTAATAAATACGAGTTTATAAATAAAAATTCAGTTACAAGTTTTACTTCTATCAAAAAATGAACTCCAATCTTTCCGTTCTATTATTTATTTTACTTGGTATTTACACAATAGCTGTTAGAGTAACTGATGATTCTGATGAGGTAAGACAAAACAGCAAAGTAAACAATTATTTAAATCTGTTTCATGTCCAGGATTGCGAAGATGACGAACACAATGTAAGTAAAGCATGATTACTATTAAATTGTTGCTTATACATATTTGGCATTAAATTTGGTACGTATTACACACTTTCAAAAAACTGAAACAAGAACAAATTCAAGAATTGTACAAATATCTAAACTGATATATAAAGAAAGTTATATCGTCATGGACCGAAAGCCATTGAATAATTTATTGCTTCACAATGAAAACGTTTCACTTTTAGCACTTTTAGAAGAAGTGAATTATAATTTATTCTAAATTAATACACAAATATCAGATTATGATTTGTTTTTCTACTCTTACAAGCAGCAAWCTGACAGCAGACGCTCTATTATTGCAGAAAATAATAATAATCTACTTTTAATGATTTCTTTTCTTATAGGATAACAAATGGGTATGTATACGAGTGTAAAATTAAAACCAATTTAAGACATTGCTTTTTAATAACAGAGAGGTTCAGGCTCGTTTAATAAGAAGGTAAGAATTATTTCTAATTTTAAAGGGTAATTTTTCACAATTTTCTACAATTTTCTACTTTTACAAGCAGCAATTTGAGAACAGTCACTGTATTATTGCAGAAAATAAAATCTACTTTTAATGATTTCTTTTCTTATAGGATGACGAATGGGTATGTATACGAGTGTAAAATTAAAACAAACTTAAGACGTTATTTTTTAACAACAGAGGGGTTTAGGCTCGTTTGATAAGAAGGTAAGAATTATTTCTAATTTTAAAGGGTAATTTCCAAAAATTCAAAATAATAATAGTATATCATTCAACGAGAATATAGTGATGGCTACTCTTACTATTTACGAAGATAAGTTTTTTAATCACATAAATAAATAGCCATTATATGCGAGTAGAATACGATGCTTTATCTACGACTATAAAATATTTTCGTTTTTTTGGAATTGACAAAGTCAAGGTTTGGAAGTTGACGTTTTAATTTGAATAATAAAAATGGCAAATTGTGTTCGAACAGTAGGCCATGACGAGCATTCGTATGTTGGCAATCTGCACAGAATATCCGCACAATAATGAAAGATTTTTGATTTATGATATAAGACACTAGTGGCTTAATAAGTAGTATAATGTACCTATAGTTACATAAAAAWCATACTATTTAATAATCGTAGATAAAGAAATTTCTTAGGTGGTGTGACATAGAGTTAATGAAATAGAAAATACGAGAAGACAGCATGAACTACTTACTTAAATGTTAGTTATTGAAACACGTAAAATACAAAAAAAAATATATATATCATTTAATTTTTTTCATGTAAATTTGGTAGAACTGAAAGTGTGAGGTATTAAAAGACATGTCGTTTTATCGAGTTTATAACAAGATCGTTTGTATACGTTAGAGACCCAAATTTCTTCCGGTATTTCGGATAATTAGTCCGGACGGCCGACTTGAAACGACTTCTCATTCGAATTAAAAAAAAATAATTAGAGRTTGTAAAGGAAGTCGACAGCAGTGCGCTAACACTCCATTTAGGTTCTTAGGCTTCTAATTTGCTGCTTTCACATAATTTGGCCAATACAAAATAAAGCGATGTTTAAGTACACTTGCTTTCAAAACTTTCGCGTACACATTCAAAATCAAGTAACAAAAATTTTGCAAAATTTTAGCTGAGTGAATGGGTAATATTGAAATTAGGTTAAATATGACATTGACAGCATTTAAAAAAAATGTGATCGATCCCTCATCCTGGACCCAAATTCCTGTTTTATTATGTTAGTTTATACATAATAATTGCAGATATAAASCAAAAATCTTTACAAAACAAATAATTCGGCAGCAATTAGTGTTTGAATGTAACAGAAATTTATTAATTAAAACAAAACAAAAATATAAATACAAACATTAAAAAAGGTTTTGTCTAGTCGTATTGAAACAGTTTTCCCTTAAATTATCCAAAAAGGCTCTTTCTCCACGTTTGAAATTTTGAGTATTCCCGAAGACGGCCTTTTAGTGAGGGTCCAGTGTTGTTCTTCTCACCTCTTTCTTTTCTCGTAGAAGAGTGGTTTTATCTGGCCCATAATGAGTAAGTAGCAACCCTTATAGTGCACCCATCGTCTAATTTGGGAAGGATGAAAACTTTTTCTTTTTCTATCAGTCGAGGCATTTTGACTTTTCAAACATAAATGTCAGAGCTGATTAATTACAATCCGGATATAATACACCGAAAAATAGGTGTACGCGAAAGTTTTGAAAACAAGTGTATATACAAAATATTTAAATTGTGACTGTAGGAGATTTTATTGCTATTTAGAGTTTTTAAACAGAGCAATCAAAAAGACCTTGTGTCAAGTGGGCGCATTAGGTAGTTGAAGACGTATGTCGCATATGTTAACTAGATGTCAAAAAATTACTTTATAAAAATTAAAATACAATTCTGAATTGTCATTAAGACGTTTTATCTTTCGTATACATACGTTCTAAATTTCTACGCAAGCTTGATAGAAAGAATTTTGTATAAATACAGGGTGCGCCAGAACTCGGGCCCAGAGAAAAATTTCAAGTAAGATAAGATATCAGGAATATGGAAAAAAATTAGACATCTATTTTTTGACATTTGACATTTTTTTGTGTCTATTTGATGATACTGATAATCTTGTATATGTTTTTTTTTACAATTATTTAGTAAAGGTACAAAAATTTTGCCAATAAAAGCCACAAAAATCATTGAACAATTTAGGATACAGCTTCTTTGTTTCCTCTTCTAATAGCCAGCAAAAAAACTTGAAAAATTATTTTTCCAACAGAAATAAGTAGAGTCAAAGTGCAAAATTTAAACTCCCATAAGTTCGAAATTTTTATAGATAAACTTTTTTTTAACATTTTTTCCWTATTCCTGGTATCTTACCTTATATGGCATCTCTCTCTGGGGCGCGAGTTCGGGCGCAGCCTATATGTATAAGATTTCTATTGCTATTTAGATCTATGGCAAGATCAAATAAATTTGTCAAACACAAAATAATTAATTCTACTAAGTACTGAAAGGTTTTTTGAAAGACAGAAAAACCACAAGTTGTGACTTCTTCGCAAATATGTAATTCAAAACTTCTAAAAAGTTGTAATTTACAAACCAAATTATTTTTTATTAGACAGTTGGTCACCATGAAAATTTGTAAATGTTTGTAAATTAAGCAAAGCCTTTTAGCTTCGACTCCAAATTTATTTGATCATACGATATGCCTTCTCTGGGAACCAATTTTATTGTATCTAAGAAAATGCAATGGGGGGACAATTTAGAAGACGAATACTAATAAGTATTAAAATTATTATTTTTTACTAAATATTGGATAAAATTAGCACTTTGTTAACAACTTATCTGGTGTAGTCCAACAAGTACGCATTCTTAAGAAACCCAAAAAGCGGTCTTGTGTTAGCCGCTTATGACGATGTGGTTACAGTTGAATACTTTAACGGTTATCCAGCGCAGTTGTGGAAAGCAGAAAGTGCATCTCCTGGTACATTTTATGTCATTAACAAAGCTTCTGGGTAAAGTGAAAATGTATTAAAATCGCTCWATATAAATTTCTATTTTGTTACAGTAAAATTGCATATATGGATTATAAAGGTCGAAAAAAAATTAATCAAGTAATTACAATACCGAAATATGCTTTAAATGAAAACAATAAGTGGAGTGGTAAATGGTTCATTAATTCTGATAATACAATTGTTACTTCCCGAGATTCAATGGCGCTAACTATAAGTGGTGAAAATATCTCGGCTGGAAATGAGGTGCTAGGGACTCCTAAAAATGGAAGAGCCAGCCAATTGTTTATTTTTCAGTATGATTAGATATTTTGTAACAATTTTTAAGAATTAATATACATCATTATATTACTGAAGTGTGTTTTTTATATTGATTTAAAATTTATTAGAATTAAGGATTAATAACTAAAAAATCAATTTTTAAACACAAGTTTTATTAATTGATGAGTTGATGACTGATTAGTAATTTTTTGCAAAATTTTCTGTATCACTATARAGGGTATTTCACGAATGATAATGAGCCTGACCAAATTTGAACAGCAGCCAGCAATACATTTGCATAGGCTTTAAAATAAATACAACATAGTTGTCGCGTGACTCACACAAAGAAACTGACAAGACAGGAAACACAATTTTTAAGGTTATTTGTCTATCTACCATTGGAAAACACTTTAGTGATTCAAACCTTTTTGGAGCTTTTCTATTCAGGAAATATTGTCTTTAGAAAGGTTCAACGYTAGAAGCATTTTTGCCKAATTCGCCATAAATGAGAATCAGATCTGTTTTCTCATCGTTCGAATGCATTTTYACTTTTTGCTAAATTTAATATTAGTTGTGACAAATAAAATTATTGGAAGCAAAACTATCGTGGATTCATTATCGYTTTTTCAAACAAAGCGATATCTAAAATAWCCAAGTTAACTTTGCAAATGTATTGTGGGTTGTATTTTCAATTCCGTCAAGCTCATTATCACTCGTGAAATACCTACCCTGTATTTCTAATATAAAATTTTACATTTTTGGTTGGTGGTAAATATAGACATATTTTACTTCTTATGTTGCCTTTAATATACGCTCTACTATAAAGTACATCATCAATCACAACGTCTAGTACATAATAGTTATTTATATACCAAGTCAGTAAAGTGATACTTTATCGAACGAGTCTGAGATTATGAGCAGAGCGAGCAAGACAAGTAACAGGCGAGTTCGATAATATCACTTTACTGACGTGTTGCACACAAAATTTTATCGCCAACCGTAAAGATTCCTAAAAAATGGAGAAAAAAATTATAAGTTACCAGTGATATCACGTTTTAGTATGGCAGTTTACACAGATATAAAAATAACAGCAAATACAAAATAAATCTACTTATTATTAGTTATATTAAACGTGAACGTGCACCCTGGCGGATTATTGAAATTAATTTCTGAACTCGAAGGCTTTTCATTTGAAAATGTTTGAGGATTAGAATCTATGTTAACAATTTGCAAATCTTTAGAAGAATTAGAAGAATTATCATTGATAACAACTGTGTTGTCAGTTTGAACTTTACTTAAAATGGTCTTTGCAATATTTGCGGCAGGTAAAATGTTTGATTTGTACAGTACAATAAAGTGTTTGTTTACTTCCGAAAATTGCTATGGTAATGCATGGGTTTATTGATGGTTGGCGATAAAATACTCTTATCTTGACACTTTTTTTTCTTTCTTTACAATAATTTCAAAATTTAGTAAAATTTCATATTTAATATTAGTATTGGAAAAAACTTTAAAGACTTATTATACAGAGTGCGCCAGAACTCGCGCCCCAGAGAAAAATTCCATATAAGGTAAGATACCAGGAAGATGAAAAAAATGTTAAAAAAATTTTATCTATAAAACTTTAAAAGTTATGAGGGTTTAAAGTTTTGCACTTCGACTCTATTTATTTCTGTTGAAAAAATAATTTTCCAAGTTTTTTTGCTATAGGCTATTAAAAGAGGAAACCAGGAAGCTGTATTCTAAATTGTAACTCTGTTCAATGTTATTTGTGGCTTTTACTGGCAAAATTTTTGTCCCTTTACTAAATAATTGTAAAAAAACATATACAAGATCATCAGTATCATTAAATAGATATAAAAAAATGTCAAATGTCAAAAAATAAATGTCAAAATTTTTTGACAGATAGAATTTTTTAAACATTTTTTTCATGTTCCTGGTATCTTACCTTACTTGAAAATTGTCTCTGGGGCGCGAGTTCTGGCGCACCCTGTATAGTTATATAATTTCTAAAAGTCTCGTTCTAGCTCCCCAACGGTTGCTAGAATTTAAATGTACCTCGATTTTTAAACTGTCTATAAAACTCTTGTTGTCCTAATTGTTATTTGATGTTAACTGAATACTTTCTGTATAAAAGAATTTATGTGTCAAAGGTTTCGACTACTGGTACTAGTTTTTTTTCTTTCATTTATATCTGGGATCTTTGTATCTAACTAAAGTAGAAATAATTGCATACAGATGTTACACTTTAAAAAATTATGACTTACTATTGACATAAAATAAAAGTCTTATGGACAATATAAGCATGATTTTTATGATAACAACTTTTAATGATTTCATTTAAATTTTTAGCAGCAAATGAATATCGWACTATTTTAAACAAAAAAATGGATTATGGACGTATTAAAAACGTAATATACAGTTTTATGATTAAAAGTAATAATAATAATAATGATAAAGATCGTATAAAAAATAATAGAAACCAAATTTCCAGTATTTTTGTAATCTTAAGTTGGCAYACCTGCATACTATTGCGGACAAAATACTTTGGTCCGTCGTCTGCGTTGATTGATAGTAATAATAAGTCTACGCAATGTCAAAAAAATGGCCGTTGAGGGAGCGACAAGTCCGCGCTCCAATGGAATGTATACTTTGGTTTGAAAACTTGATAAATTTACTTTTGTGTTTTATGGGTTGTATAATAATTTTTTTATTGATTGTAATTTTTTCTACGAACTAGACCAAAAACATTTATTATTAATTATAACATTTTATAAGCAAATTTAATTTAATTTATTAAAAAAAATAAATACATATTTACATTTAGGTTACATAGTTATTTTTAATCTTTACAATTTTACAAGAAAATTATTATTTCTTCAATACTTCAAATAAAAAACACAAGGATTAATTTTATTCTCTATTAATTAGTTCTTTATTATTCTCTATCACTTTTTTGCTTTGAGAAAACCCCTTGAGAATTTTCCATATATTTGTTCAAAGTTGTTTTGGATGGAGCTTTTAAAAACTGACTTRTTGCCAATTCATAATCTTTTGSAGAAGTGTACCTRCAGGCAATACAATAACSTACTGTAACCTCAGACCATTTTGCGTTTTTTTTAGGGAATAATTATAAATTTGCTCAAGTAAAAACAGAGCCCTTGGTTCTAAGTCCTTTGAATCTGACTCAATTTCCACTACACAATGTTGACCTTTACTGTAATTGTCAACTTTTTCCTGCATTTTCTTTTTTTTAAGTTTTTTTTGGTATAGCTTATTCAACTTTTGAAATCTTACATTTGCTTCCTGTAACTTTTTTTCTAAATTTTGAATTTTATCTAGTAAGACAAATTTTTCTTCCGAACTTATTGCATCTAGAAATTTTTTTAAATCAAAATCATGAGTCTCACCTACTTTTAAATCGCTTTGTTGATTAAAATCTTGAAATTAAGTAATTTTTGTCAAATAAGTCTAGAGATTGTCGTTTCTAACGGCTTACGTTCTGTATTAATGGAAGTGGTAAAGATTATCTGAAAACGAGTAATTCTTTTATAATTCAACAGCAAGGATAGAACAATGGAATAAAATTTGGTTACATTTTTGTTTTGATAATAGCTCGTTATTTCAAAGCGTTTTCCACAAATCACGGAATTTGGGGGTATATTGCCAATAGTACCAAATATTCTCTTAATCCATTCGTTCTTTTTTTTATTAAAGAAATCGCTTCAACCGCAAGGGTTATTAGCGTCTAACGTAAAAAATATAATTACATTATGTTATTACTATTATATACAATACAATCAAGTAAGATATTTAGATTTCGTCGTAATATTTGGTTCTTTGGAGTAGTTTCTTTAGAGCTGGCCAGTTAGATGTCAGAATGGTTTTTAGGTCATCAGCGACGTCACATGAAGAGCGAATTCCTTTTATTTCACGACATAGTAGTAAATGTTTAACATCTAGTTTAACTCTTTTACATTTTTTTTCTTTTGATTTTTACTTTTTGGAAATCATTATAAAGTTACATCCTCTTCTTCCCTTTGTCTACAGTTTGAATATTTGACATTTTAAGAATCCTAATGTAATATCTGAAACAATGATACTATTGATACAATAGATTTCTTTTTTCTAAAAAGAAAAGCCTATATCTTAATGATAAGAGCAAATCTTGGACGTTTTATTCTTGTATTTGACATTTTACCAAGTACAGTTCTTCTCCCGTCTAGAGCACAGTTAATGATTATTAATATTTTAGATGTTGTCAAATCTTTTACTTATGACTCACGTTCGTGGTAATCAACATTACAATCAATTATCTTATTTAGAAAGAGGTCAAAATTGTGAGAGTACACAAGGTTTTATACCCTTTCGTAAAGTGGCCAGAAAATTGGGTCGAAGTGACTACAATCATTCGAGCATGGAGGGTTTGGTCCAACGAAAATCCAAAAAGGAGAAGGAAAGGAAGTTGTCAGCCACTAATTACAAATACACGTCAAAAAGGGCGTCTTCGGTGACTATCTTTAGTTAATCCGTTTGAGACAACTGGGTCAGTGGGGGCTACTTGGAAGGCTGTTCTAAAAAGAAATGTATTTGAAAAGACAGATGCAATGATTTAGAAAATATTTTGAAAAATTACTGACTTGTTTTTGATTATTAAGTGATATTTAGTCGATTCGTTTAGACCAGAAAAAGTTTTCAAGTAAAATTTCAAAATACCTACTCTAATGAATCAAGTACCTAGTTGAGGCTGTTTTTTTTTTCTTTCAGTGATTTTGGGTCTTTTATATCTATCTAGCATAAACTAAATAAATAAAATAAATATACTACACATCATTACTATAATGCTTACGAGAATTTTGTCAATGCCATTTACTTTCAATCTATTTTAGAAAAAAATGGTTTTATTCTATATTTAGCGAAGGACATGTACCACATTTTTTTTAGTTACAAAAAGTACCTATTTTCTAAAAAAGAACAATTTCCTTTCTGTTTATTGAATTTCGCATCACAAATAAAAGAGCGGTTTTCTAGAGAGTAAATTATTTTGGAAGACTACGAGTATGTAGGTGCAATACAATATAAAAGTAGGAAA